ATCTCTTGTCGAGCATGGTAGGTATCTAATCCGAACGTTTGGATAGCAATTTTACACGCGTTATCGAAATATTCAGAAAACAAAGCCTCCATCTTTAGTTTGTTGCTGGCGTGTTAAATCATAGCAATGGTTAATCGTCACAATAGCGCAGACGGCAAACGATTTATTTGGAAAGTCGTAGGGGCGAGCGACGAGAACCCCAACGACTGGAATCCAAGCATAAATGTTCAGGTTGTATTGGTGTTTAATCAGTCGATAATTCAGTGGTTGTACCTAACCGTAAATTTGCGTGGAATGTCCCTGGGACAGGACCATGCAGGGAATAATAATGTCATGCACCTATCAATGCGAGTTAGAGAGAGTGATGGGCTCTGCGGTATTATGCAGTGGCCCTGTAAGATAGGGAAAAAGAGAGTGTTTCGTACATACACACATATTACCGAAATCAGTAGAGTGTCTTTTCCGGAAGTTGAAAAGACAGTCAAAAGCCAGTAGAAACTTTCATGTTTTATGACGTCACGATGAAAGAATGTAGCGTGGAATTCGAACTTGTAAGTTATTTTACTTATTAGTAACTCCCTGTAGTAACTTTGCATTTCTTCTCCCAGTGCCTTCCCACAAATAAAAGTTCTCCCTAGTGTGAGGCGGTTTCTACAAAAAACCGAAAACCGACCAAAAAAAACCGAAAAAACCGAGTGAACAGGTTTTTTTAAAAAATATGTTCGAAAATCGGTTTAAAAAAGACAACAACACACGCTATTGAATATTTTAGACCTGTCTTCGCAGACGTCCGCCTTTATTACTAGCGAATCAAAATTCACCATCGCTTGATCCGCTTATCCGTTCAAGACTTCAAGCTCGCGCGAAATTGTAGAATGATATTTATAACGTAAGGTATTTTGAAGATGTCATCAAATTTCAAACAAAATCTTTTTAGTTTTCGTGTGTAAATGCCAAAACTTGATTCATTTGCAAGAAACTCGTATAAGTATGTTTCGATTTCGGTTTTCCCCCGGTTTTTTCGGTTTTCCGGTTTTTCTCCAAAAGTATAAACATTGTCATCGAGTAATTCGGTTTTAAAAAAACATCGTTTTTTTTCGGTTTACCGAAAAACCGCCTCACCCTAGTTCTCCCTTTGTTCAAAAGCTTGTTTTGTGTTTGGCGAGCCATTGTCACTTTGTCAAACTAAATAAAGTTACTAAGGGACCGGTCATTATTTATGGTGGGGGGTGGCACCGAAGAGAAAAGGGTTGGGTAAACTAAATTTTGAGTAAGTAAAACGTTGGGTAAATGAAAAACAAAACAACTCAAGGGTTGGGTAATAAAAAAAATATTGTCATTTCCAAAGCATGACTCACTGAAGTATTGGGGACTAAAAAGCAATGGCAACAGTAGCTAGCCCTACTCGCCCGCGATATATTAATGGTATCAAGCGCTGTGAATATGATATACATTTTTAATACATTACATTTGCGCTCAAAAGTTCAGGAAGTGAGTTTCTAGAAAGGATGAAAACTCCGTTTTATATATGGTATGTAAAAGGTAATCGTTGTTTACTGTTTACTGTTTATTTTGTATTCAGGGATGGGGAATTTAAGCGATGAGAGTTGCAAAACTTGCAAATGTAGTCTGACTAGTTTCTTTGACGTCATCATGCAACTATTTAATATTGTGCTACATTCATTATTCAATTTATTCGCAGCAATTAGCCGTCTATAAGCCATACAAATGATTATAGCTTATAGCCCACCTTGCCTTTAACATTGATCCTATATATAATGAATTAACATAACTAACTTGATTATGTTGCTAGTCGAGTATGGGACCTATGGGTCTTCTAGATCTTAGAGTTGCTCAATTAATATAAAGTCTCCGTAAGGCGGTAATATTAAAGACTGTTCTTATTTATGCATGACCTTTGACTATTAAGTGGCCAAAAATTGTGCCTACAGTAGTCAACTTATTCCACTATCCAGGTTGCATCACTTTTGATTGCAAAATACCCGGGTTTATTATACATGGATTTGCTAGCAAAATAGCAGCAATTGATGAACTTGGTGTTATACTAAGATTTACTAAATGTGTAAATAAACAACGAAAAGTATATATCAATCAGAGTCACTATCTTGATCAATTTCCGATGGGATCTCCAAATTAGCTACATGTGCAGACAACATGAAACTTCAGACTGCAGAAAATTTCACAATCCGTTATCAAACTTATGTCACAGAAGTGGTAAAGGACATATGTGACAACTGAATGGTACCTTTTGTAAATTTTTTGGCCAGGGGTGTGTATTTATTTTTTAATTGATATTTGAGGTTGGGTAATCATTTTTTTTTACTTTTTAATGGTTGGGTCAGCAAAATTTTTGCTACGAAAAACATTTCTCTTCGGTGCCACCCCCCGCCATAAATAATGACCGGTCCCTAAGTAAGTAAAATAACATACAAGTTCTACGCTGCATTCCTTCACCGTGACGTCATAAAACATGAACGTTTCTACGCCATTCTGACTGTCTTTTCAACTTGCGGAAAAGACACTCTACTGATTTCGGTAATATTCGATTGCTGGAATTGGTAGAATACAGTCAATGGCATTACCATGACTATGTGTCACCAGCACTTAAAATAGAGCAGCTCCTGAGTGATCGATTATTTTTGTCTTAGGGACCTTGTTTCACCTTAATGAACAATTCAAATCACTACCCTGTCGGTGGTTTTATATGTGATAAAAAATCTTTACATAAATTTTAGCTTTGAATTTCTCGGCTCAGACAACGTTTATTTTTAAAATTACTTCGCCAATGAACTCTTTAGATGGTTCGTTTTTTAAGCCATTTAAAGCACTCGCAGTCCGTGCTTTATCAGATGTAAAACACTCGAGCTGCGCTCTCGTGTTTTAGATCTGATAAAACACTCCTACTCGTGTTTAAATAGTAGTAGCCTACTACTTAATTTGCGATGTATTTTTCTGTCACTTGTAGATTGAATGTCTGTCATTTTGTGGTTATGTACCACACCTACTTAAGGTATATACATCTACACACGAAAATCTTAGTCTGACGTCACCTATACACTGAATATATGTTCCGCAAGTACTATAGCTATAATGTTGGAGATTACCATTCTTGCGCGCTGGCGGCTTTGTTGGCTGCGAGCAAGGGAATAGGGATTTGTATGGGATCGGGGCTTAACAGAAATTCAGGGACGCCGGAAGTGGGGGGGCAGGGGGGGCGGCTGCCCCCCTTGCCTTTTGCTAGGGGGGACAGGGGGGGGGCAGAAGTGCCCTTATAGTTGTAAAATAATACGTGATAAATCACATTTCCAACGATGCTTTTTGTAGGAAAATCACGAGATTCAGGTAATTTATAGTTTATATTTATAAAAATTTTGGGAAATTTTTGGAATTTAGAAAAATATTTTGAAGAAATGGCGAAAATTTAAGATATCCGGAAAAATTTTTGGCTTCACGGAAAATTTTTGTATGTCCGGAAAAATTTTTTGACCCCTAAAATGGTACACTGACCGAAATTTTGGACGGGGGGGGTGGGAAGGTCGCCAGTGAAAAAAAAAATTTCAGTAAAGGTGCCCTTGGTGTGCGTCCGCCCCCCTTTGCCCTATTATCGTTCCGGCGTCCCTGCAGAAATTCATGCCTGTTGAATGCATAATTCCATTTAAAATGTGATGATAATTCCATTTAAAATGTGATGATAAATGTAATGATAATTTCGCCAAAATACCATGTCAGAAGCGTTCTTCCGGCACATTTCGTAGAATGCCCAATAACCCAATTCAGAGTTCAGACTGCGCATCCAAATGACGCGTTCTGTGTCGGGATGGATTGCAGCTGAATCATTACATGTATAGCTGAGACTGGAAACATTAAATATATGCATGTCAAAGTATCCAACCTTTCACTCATTATTTTTGTTTTACTTATACCTATACAACAGAACTGGCATTAGATAATTTTTGTACTAGCATATTTTGTCTTTTGTGTAAAGCAAAATAGAGAAATTTAAAGATGTTAGATGCGAAACCAGGATTCATATTAAGGGTTTCAAACGTTCACTGGTTAAAAATATTTATTTGGACGAGCTTTCGACTGCCAGTCTGCAGTCTTCGACGGGTAGATTGCCACTTTAATCTATCCGTCGAAGACTGCAGACTGGCAGTCGAAAGCTCGTCCAAATAAATATTTTTAACCAGTGAACGTTTGAAACCCTTAAAATAGAGAAAGGTAAATTTAATTTGAACTAGTCAACCGCGTGGAAACTAATTGTTTTTTGAGCAACTTTGCATATTTAAGAAAGATAACACCATTAACATTTAATTACAAACTTAACAACGGAAACTTAGTACAGACTGAATGTGAACGAGATCTCGGCGTTTTTGTGGATAAAAGCTTAACCTGGAATAGACAAGTGTACGAGCAGTCAGCAAAATCAAATAAACTATTGGGTTACATCCGGAGATCCACAATCTATATCCACAACCAGGAAGTGAGACGCACATTATACCTTGCACTAGTTCGGCCACACCTGGGGTATGCTACCAAAATATGGGCACCACAATCCACCGAACTAATACGCCACCTTGAACGAACTCAAAGAAGAGCAACCAAATACATCCTTAGTCTTCCATTCTCCTCCTCTACTGACTACACCACCAGACTTCAAACTTTAGTACTCTTACCGATCTGCTATTGGCATGAATATCTAGACATGGTACTCTTTTATAAAATAACTCACAAACTAGTAATCATCGAAGCATCACTACATCCAACTATCCGCACTTCCAGATCGACTAGATCCTCCGCCATAACAGTCTTAAGTTCGTCGTGCCAAAATGCAAATCGGTAACATATCAAAGATTTTACATGATTCGGGCAACTCGAATATGGAACCATCTCGTTGATGAACTTAATTTGAATGCGGATAGTCTTTCGTCATTTAAGTCGGCAATGTTTATATGACGTGTGATCCCCGCCAATATTAAATGACTAACTTTTGTTTACTAAAATTAAATTGTGAAACATCAAATTGTGAAACATCAAATTGTGAAACATCAAATTGTGAAACATCAAATTATCAAACATCAAATTGTGAAACATCAAATTGTGAAACATCAAATTGTGAAACATCAAATTGTGAAACATCAAATTATCAAACGTCAAATTGTGAAACATCAAATTGTGAAACATCAAATTGTGAAACATCAAATTGTGAAACACCAAATTGTGAAACATCAAATTGTGAAACATCAAATTGTGAAACATCAAATTGTGAAACCGTCAAATTGTGAAACATCAAATTGTGAAACATCAAATTGTGAAACACCAAATTGTGAAACTTCAAATTGTGAAACATCAAATTATGAAACATCAAATTGTGAAATACCAAATTGTGAAACATCAAATTGTGAAACATCAAATTGTGGAACCCAGTCCTAATATTATGGCCGAGTTTGCGTATATAATTTGGAAAAATTATTCTGATTTATTTCCCGTGGGAAAATGTTTTTTACTCTTTACTGTAATACAAAATGGCGGAACAAGAAATGGTTGGCTTCATAAGGCATACGTTGTTAAATATTATAATACAGCTCGAAAACAGCTCTGGTGGAACAAATAATTTAGACAGCGTTTCATACCGTTTAGACTGGCTATACAACTGTCTAGTCCGGTATCGTTGTAGATGTAGAAGCAGGACTAATTGTAGACATTGTAGAAGCTGGACTAAGATTAGTATTACCACGGTTAGTATTACTTGATAGCATAGATTCTGCTTGACGTAACAGAGATACAACAGCTGTGAAATCCGGTGTCGAAGTGTCAGGAGTGTCAGCCATTTTGGAAAAGGTTTGAAATAAGTTACTTTCCGCGAGAAATAAATTACTTTCCGCGGGAAATAAATAATGCCAATTTAATATGCAAACTCGGCCATATATGATTAGAACTGGGACCAGGTTCCAGGATTTGATCATTTTGATGTTTCACAATTTGATATTTCACAATTTGATGTTTCACAATTTGATAATGTTTCACAATTTGATAATGTTTCACAATTTGATGTTTCACAATTTGATGTTTCACAATTAGATGTTTCACAATTAGGTGTTTCACAATTGGACAAAGTACACAATTTGACAATGTACACAATTTGGTGTTTCACAATTTGACAATGTAAACAATTTGGTGTTTCACAATTTGACAATGTACACAATTTGGTGTTTCACAATTTGACAAAGTATACAATTTGGTGTTTCACAATTTGATTTTACTAAACAGAAGTTAGTCACTTAATATTGGCGGGGATCACACGTCATATCGATGATGATTTTCAGTCAATGATTCTCAAGGCCAATTAAGAGATCGAATTTTTTCGATTGAACTATTATTGCAACTATTCAAAATTTGATCATTAAGTTATTTTTTTTTAATTTTGTAGTTGGTAGAACTGCAGTCCTTTCTTTAACGGCCTACGATAAATATCCATAAGACATGTTACTCATTTCCCAAAAATGTATCTATATGGTACCGGCTGGGTGTTTACCTGTTTGTTTTAATATAACTCGAAAACTATAAAAGCTATTGAGCTGAAATAAACATTGCATGCAGGAAGGGCTAGCTTAGATTGTGATATATAACACTAAATTATCGGTACGATATTGACGGAGATACTGACAAGCATTTGATGTTGCAAGACGCTTTCAAAGTTTGCGAAAATATGAAAAAAATCTGCGTATTAAATTTATTGGAAAACACTTGCCACTTTCTTTGGAAACTTTTTAACTTCAGTAATTTTAACTATAAGTGTAGGCTTTTCCATTACAAACTTACTTTTAAAAATAAAAATTACACTAAAGAACGATTCTTAGGAATAAAATAAAGTATAATAATTCACACAGCAAAAAATCAATTTCTTAAGAAAAATTATTTTCTCAATTTAAGAAAATATTTTCTTAAAATGAGAAACTTATTTCTTAAGAAAAATTATTTTCTTGATGTAAGAAAATGTTTTCTTAAAATGAGAAAATCATTTCTTAAGAAAAAAATTATTCTTAATTTAAGAAAACTGTTTTCCTAAAATGAGAAAATTATTTCTCAAGAGAAATTACTTCTTGATTTAAGATAACTGTTCCCTTAAAATGAGAAAATTATTTCTTAAAAATATATTTCTTGATTTAAGATAACCCGGTTTTCTTAAAATAAGAAAATTATTCAGTCTGAAGAAAAATACTTCGTATATAATATAGTTAATTCCACATATAACTGTTTTCTTAAAATGATAAGTTATTTCCTCTAACTGCATGCATGCTATATTAAAACGAACCTCGTTTTTCAACATAACTCATAAGACGTTTTCTCTTGAAAATATATACATTAATTAACCGTTTCTTGATTGATGGAATGATTAATTTCCTCAATGTAAGATTATCTTTCTCAAAATAAGGAAGTTGTTTTTGCAATATTCTTGAATTAAATTATTAAATTGCACCATGCATGCACATGCATATTGCACCGATTTTTAATCGTTATAGTTTCTATATAATTTTTTATACACACATGCAATAATTTCAACTGATCAGGTGTCTCTGTTGTTATTCAGACTCCATATTGTAGTATGAATCGCAATCACATGGATCTCAGCATTTTCATAAAAAGTAAAACCATAATAGTTATCTCGCGAGCGGATAAGCCAGAGCTTAAAGGACTCTAGACTTGCTCCGAGTCTCTCTTTCATTGTCATATAGTATCGATCCACTATAGTGTACATTACATGACGTAGCACGGAATAAGAGGACTCTGGGTAAAGACGCAGCAATTTGAACTTTGATCCTTCGGCGGTTTGACTTTGGAACAAAGAGCTTATAGTGTAAATTATGGTCGTTGAAAATGTTAATTTTGGACACCTAAACGCATCTTTACTTGGCCAAATTACTTCTGAAGGCATTGAATGTGGTCAGATACGGCAAGGTAATGTTTTTTGTTCATATTTTGTGTATTAGAAAGCCTAGTGTTTTGCAACAACCAGTCGATTTCCCGTCGTTGGTTATATATATTAAGAAAATTAGTAAGAAAATTTTCTTACCAGTCTCCCAAGAAAATTTGGACTTATATTAAGAAAATTTTCTTAAAATAAGTTGTTTTTTTCTTAAAATAAGAAAGTGATTTTTTGCTGTGTGCAAGTTCCATTCATCCAATGGAAACTGAATGTTCCATTTGATGTCCCTTGGGATTCGAACTCGCAAGGAAAGAAACATTGTCCGCAAAATCTTCATTCTGCGGCTCTAGGACATGCTTTTAGGTTAAACATTGTCGGTTAAATCTTCATTCAGGCTCAAAGACACAGTAAACTGATATTAGTTAATCCTTTTGTACATAAACGCATTATTTTAGGAAGAATAAAAACAATCAACAAGTAAACTAAATTTTAATTTGAAAGAACTTTTGAAACTATATATATTTACTTATTTTACCGATTTTTCATACCTTGCTTAGTTCGTGAAATATTTTGACTTGAAGTAATGAGATGTCCGTCATCTTGGATGATATTTTATCTCATTAACGGTAGTTTTGGTGACGTCACAACAGGGATTAACCATATAAAAGTATTCGTTGCTAACCAAATATTGATTAGTAGATGTTTTAAAGGTTTTGAGTTATCTTGATATTATACGAAGGGCAGACAGAGTACAGTTTTGTGTGCCCCTGTTGTGACGACATGGATATCTACAAACATTGAAGATGGTAAACATTTCATTCCTTTCAATCACAATATTTGTGGAAGTAATCAATTCCATGTTTTACAAGTCCATGTTTTAGATATTGCTTACGGCTATCTCAACTTGACGTTGATGCTTCGATAACAGTAATAATATTAAGGTAGTTCCAACGTGTCTTGCTAGTGCCTCAATCTGACTGATTGATGCATCGATGACAGTAATTAAGGTGATGAACAATATTGGATGTGGGACCCAAAAAAATCTTTCCCATACACCCGCCTCAATCTATTTATTGCCATTGTATGAAGACATGGGAAAAACAGGGACAAGATAAATATTGTTCGCACAAATGAAATTTATTTTGCATTATTTACACCAGTTTTTACCCAATTTCTATTTGTCCAAAAGTGTTAAGTGCACGAGGTCATTTTAAATCAATATTTTATTACGTAGTCGACAACCGTTTTTCTTGTACTATTCTGATTCTTTAAATTCCTTTTATTTTCATTGTTGTCTTTTTCATGGAGTAATGGAAACCTTTCCAGTGATACAAATTTATGCCATCAGCAAAAGAACTGTGGTGACCCAGATAATAGAAACCATTTAAATTGGACTCGTGACAGCCACTATACCACCATGCTCCGAGGTACGTTCGAGAACACTCGCCATGTTCAGTATCCTTCGTTGTGAAGTTCATACCATCGTGAAGGTTTAAGGAGTCACCAGCGTTACCTATATCAAAATACGTCACTTTTTTACGGACACAAATAACATGAAAATATTTGCTAATAAGCACAGACACCTAAAGGATTATTTTTCATATGTTGCATGCATAGTTATAATTTCGGAAAATTGTTACGAACCAGCGTGTTTAGTGAATAAAAGTACATAGCTATATAATTTTTCACTGATAGCTAACTTTGATCATGGTTTAGGTTTTTCGAATATTTAGGGGGGGGGCTATAAAATTTCGAGGATTTGCTTAATTTTTATTTACTTTTGAATACTGTAAGATTCGTCCCGTTGCTCAATCGCGTCCGGCGTATCTGAAGGATGACTGACACAAATACGAAAAGGAAAAAAACTTGTAAGAAACACACACAGAGCATATACAGTAGTTTCAGTGAGAACGACTAACCATGCACATTCTTTAAAAAAAAGTGAAACCAGAAAGGCATAGGAGTGAAAAAATTCACAAATTCGACATCACTTGAACAAGGACCGTTTCGTATTTACTTGCTTAATTCGCCGCTCAAAACGACATATATGTAATTATAAATAAACGTGTTTGATTCAGTCAATGCTTTTTTTTCTACTTATAGAGAACAATGAGAAAGGATTGTTCCACAATAATATGATAGTTGAATATTTCTTGCATGAGCGCATATAACCTCGACTTTATTTCACTTGTACAAACATTGCATTTGACTCTTTAGTTTCCTCGATTTATGAATTAAGCTACATGGCACAAATGGGTTAGAATTTATGTTTATACTGGAAAAAATATTCGTTTAGACTCTATATGTTCGTGCAACAACTATTTCAGTTACGTTTTTTGTGTTGGAATTTTTGCCACATGAACAAATTACAACATGCTCCTTATAATATAGAGTCCTCGCGAGTCATATAGAACTGCAGACTCAAATTACAAATTAATTACATAATTAGAATAATTATTAAGAAGAATTATATATCTGTTGTAATATTACATGAAGTACTGTGGGTCACCTGCATTGGGAGCCCGCACTCGAGAGGTACATGACCGCCATGTTTTTGTTAGTTAAAGCCTTACATTTGTAGGCAACTATTTAAGTTTAAATAAAGTCATTTACTTCACAACAATTTAACTAACAAAATAAATGGATAAGGTTCTAAGACCTGAATGATTTGAAACTGATCCTAGCAGCAATTTGGCGTCCAAAGAATGGCTTCACTGGAAGTGAACCTTCGTGAACTTTTTGTCAGTCCTACCTCAAGCAAACCTCGACAAACTATCAGTTTTAGCCAACTTTGTATCTCCTACAATCTTCCAACACATTGAAGATAGTACAGACTATGATGCTGCCATGGAGATATTGGAATCTCTTTTTATCAAACCCAAAAATGAGCTTTTTGCCCGACATGTTCTACAATCGTGGACATAACTTGTTAATAAAATTTTAATTTGCCTCTGTGAGAGTTTGAATTGTACTTTAATTCCTGTACTTTGTCTAAAACATCCCCCCCCTCCCCCAACACAATGTTGTTGAACTACGTTTAAAATGACAGGAAAATCATGGCAACATTGGGTGGGGGAATGGGGGGGGACCTATATGAAGTTATTCGATTGTATTTTCCTATATTGTATATTCCTTTCTGCCGAGATTTTTAAGCTTCAAAACGAGACACAAAATATTATTTTTTTCGACTATGTGTGCTTTTATAAACAAAAAAACGCTGATCAACACTATATGTTAATTTAACCAGATAGATTTGCAAGTGCTTTTGATGCAACCAACATGCATGTGCAGTACATAAACTTAAAGTTTGGAGAAGGCTTGGTGAAAAAATGCATTAGACAAATTAATTGTGCATCTTCTGCTCTTGCTAACGGTATAGTTGTATTAAATAATCTTATATCGTGCTTTGCGGCGAATATCTACCTCTGGTTTCACGTCACGCGGAACGATTAACCATGGTTAACCGTGACGGTTAACCACCGACAATAATGAGAAATGTTATGTTTGCTGGCATATTGTGTACACATTGTAGCATTTTTGACATTTCCAGAAAATGCAGGATTGTATCAGAGAAGATCAAGTTATCAAAACTCGACCTGGAAAGGACAACATTCCACCTGACACTTGACACCCTTTCCAGAACCACATGCGCCACCACTACACAAGATTCTCTCCACAAGCTTCATGAGTCACTTTGTCATCCAGGAGTAACCCAACTTTACCATTTTGTGCGAACCAAGAACCTGCCTTATTCTTTGGATGAAATCAAGAAAGTCACAAGCAGCTGCCGTGTATGTTGTGAATGTAAACCACAGTTCCACCAGCCTCAAAAGGTCCCTCTCATCAAAGCCACTCGACCATTTGAAAGAATCAACATAGATTTCAAAGGTCCACTACCCACCATTAACGGGAACAAGTACTTTCTGAATGTCATTGATGAATACTCTAGGTTCCCATTTGTTTTCCCATGTCCCGATGTTTCCACAACGACAGTTATCAATGCCTAGTTACTCTTTTTTCCCTCTTCGGAATGCCAGCGTACGTTCACTCCGACTGTGGTGCTGCCTTCATGAGTCAGGAGTTACGAGCTTTCTTCGCAGATAAGGGAATTGCCACAAGCCGAACGACTAGCTATTTCCCAGAAGGTAACGGTCAAGTTGAGAAGTACAATGGTGTGGTATGGCAAGCAACCATTAAGTCATTGAGATCCAAGAATCTGCCAACAAAGCACTGGCAAGTCGTTTTCCCGGATGTCTTGCATTCTATTCGTTCCCTCCTATGCACAGCAACTAATGAGACACCACACGAACGATTCTTCAGTTTTCCAAGAAGATCATCTACAGGCTCTTCCATCCCCACTTGGCTAGCCACATTGGCACTGTTTTCCTCAAGCGTCACGTCCGTGCCAGCAAGACAGATCCTCTTGTCGACGAGGTAGAGCTACTTCAAGCGAATCGTCAATATGCTTATATACGCTATCCGAATGGAAGGGAGACTACCGTTGCCACAAAGCACCTGGCTCCCAGAGGCCAGCAAGAGTTGTCCTGTCAGAGCCAGCTCAGCTTCCGATATCGACCCCTACATCAACCTCTGAAATAGCTCCGGTGTCGCCGGAAGCAATCCCAGTGTCAACTGAAGACAGTTCCCGTGCGGAACCGGCGCCCATCTCTACGGTAGAGGCGCATCCACCTTTACGACGCTCTGAGCGGGTGTGTCGTCCGCCAGATAGACTTAACATTTAAACGATTGGGTGAATGTTGTAACGGATAGACTTAACATTTGAACACATTTAAACGATGGGGTGAATGTTGTAACATTACATGAAGTACTGTGGGTCACCTGTATTGGGAGCCCGCACTCGAGTGGTACATTTGTTTATATTATTTTAGTTGACCGCCATATTTTTGTTAGTTAAAGCCTTACATTTGTAGGCAACTGTTTAAGTTTAAATAAAGTCATTTACTTCACAACAATATCTATTGGCTAAACTCGTCTAGTCCTAAAATGCAGAAATTTTGCTTCGAAGATCTGAATTCGCCCTGTCATCGAAGAGTAATTCTCTGGCTAATGAACGGGATTTGTTCCTAATACGTTTACTACGCTTCCAACGCACAATGATTACTAATACCACCAATGCGCGGCCAACCTCTTGTTACATACTCGCCCGGCCCCCTTTTGGTCACATGATGTGCCGACGTAACGAGGCTTGGTTCCCTAGCTGTTAACCTTTGTTATTGCATAACGTCATTAAACATTTTAAGCAAAAAAAGCCACAGAGAGCATTCCATTGCGGAGAAATTCCAAATCTCAGGACCAGACAAAATTAGCATGCGGATTATTAAGGATTGTCTCCCGGTCATACTCGGCCTATTGACATACATTATTAATAACTCATTTACCACCTCGGCATTCCCTGAGTGCTGGAAAATAGCAGAAATTATACCACTCTTCAAGGCAGGTGACCATCAAGTTTCTACAAATAACCGCCCACTTTCAATGGTCTAAGCAATATTGGGGTTTCAGGTAAAGCCCTTAACTGGTTTGAAAGCTACATTTCAGAGAGAAAGCAGTTCGTTCGCTTTGGCAATTGTAACAATTCTATAGTGGAAATTGCCAATTACGAAGGAGGCACCTCAATCTAATTGACGGAATTATTTCTGGATACATGCATTCAAGGGATTTATATAGCTATATATTTATTAGTACCTGAGTAGTTACCAACATTCAAAATATAACCTTCGCTTTCATTTCCCACAGAAAATGATTTATAAATTGCATAAGCTGTCTCGTCTTCAAATGTTTCGAGGTCAACTCTCAGTACATTCTGCCCACTGGCTGAGAGACGATGAATCTTGTCCAAACCGAGCCAAAATTCCCCAGAAAAATTGCCAAATCCAGTTTTGTAATCAGTCCAGTTTCTGTAAAAGTCCTCAGAACCATCTACACGCCTTTGGAATATAGTCCAACCCCTCCCTGGAGTGGTCTCCATATCACAACGAACGCGAAAAGCTCCCAGGCCGTCCGGGTCGATTGTATAAACCTCGGTGGTTGTCTTGCCTGATTTGAACAGGTCATTACAACTTTTTGCTGAAAAGGAAAAGTACATTAATACATCTTTACTGACAATATAGTAACTTAACCTCTATCCTTAACCTTAACCTCACTCATGCATTTTCACTTATTAAGCTCGAGCTAATCTCAATCTAATTTCGACTTAACTTCAACTTAACTCCAACGTAACCTCGAACTATAACCTCAAACTTAGCTCAACCAAGCCTCCCTCTAACCTCAATCTAAGCACAACCGGACTTCAACCTAAGCTCAGCATAATGTCAAACTATAACTTCAACCTAACCTCAACCTAATCTTAAGCTAACCGCCAACGATTACCCTGTTCATTGCGGTAAATGTGTTTCAAGTTATCATACCATATTTTACTGGTTCTTGTTTTTCTATTTTCTGCAATACAAATATATTTAATTTTGAATTATGAAGTGATATACCATCGAAATATTAGATAAAATATCCGCATTCGATTCCTATCTCTGAGAAACTATCTAAAGAAATCGTTGATTAAAAATATAGTTTCAACGTTGCTGTGAATAGCTAAGCAAAACCCAAAGGACTAAATTAATGTTAACTATATAGGTATAGCCTACAGTATAACACAACCATTTTATAACACAACATATATTTTTTTCTTTTTTTTCGTTGCCGGCTGTAATTCTTTTAAATCAAAATGACAGCCGTCAAGGGAATTATATAAAATATAGTTTTTTTGCTAAAACATCAAAACTCTTCAGTAGTTTTGATAAAAACGGAGAAATGACATTTTATAATTTTGTAATTTTATGGGGTATAGATTGAACGTTTATCAGCAGAACGGTGAGGGTCAGAGCACAATAAGATTCAAAAGTAAATCACGTTTTCTATGCGAAACTACATTAGTGTTAAAGTATCCACAAAACTTTGCAATGTAAAGTCTTAGTGTTGTATCATGGGCTTGTGCAGATATATTATGAGTGTGAGTATTTGTATATGCGCATGTGTTATAGCTAGCAGCTGATGGGCGATAAATATTATTCGCACTGTCAATATATGCTTTGGCCGACGTACATTTTCACTGACCGAAATACATAATTTAAGCCAGAACCTGCCGGTTAGCAGGTAATCTAATAACTTAATGTATTAATTTCAACCACTTTTTAATACTTGAATTCGATCTTCTCATTAGCAGGTTATTATATGCTGTTGTATAGTCTGGCAAATGACGACAGAAAATTCATTTTGCCTCCTAATCGGAGTTTAGTATGTGCATGGTAAACACGGTTGAACACGATCAAATTACGCGAGTGAGCCATCCAATAATGATTTCTTTCGGCATGCGATTTTGCGAAACGTTTACATGCATTGCAAAATCGTGGATACATGATCAACATCTTCGTTTTATTTGTGAACGAACATAAAAATTTATTGCTTGCCTATATTGCTTTGTTTTCCATGTTTACAGAAAATTGATAAAAAATACCTTTTCCAGCGGTTCATAATAATCATAGTTTTTATCAGCCTGCAAATTCTGAGGATGTTTTGTTTTCGTGGCGTTGTTGAGCTGACAGTTGGTGGAAGGATGTTGATGTTTTCTCGCTTTGTAATTGATTGATTTACAGTCAGAAGGTTTTCTGAGACAGTATAGAGAACATTTCAAGAAATTCAGTGTGTTGTGTTCACTGATTACATTGTCGCTTAGACGGTAACCTACAGAAAATTTTAAGAAAATATCATGCAGAGATGCAAGTGGAAAATGGGGAGAAAACTCTGATATTCACCTCAATCGCGTGTGAAAAGTGTGAACGCCGCATGGTTCTCTCTATGTTCCAAGTAATAAAGCTGGAACATCGAAATTTATAGATATGATAGAGTTATCCATGCAGCTACAGCAATTTGCATCCAAGGACAAACCGCAAATATTTTCGCGCGTTTGTTTACGTTTGAAACGGGGCGTTTACCGTTGGAAACAGAAATGTTTCACTGCTCGTGTGACGTGTTACAGTGCAAAGCCTAATTCAGTTATTTTTCATGTTTTGATGTGCTTTCGTGTACGTTTCAGTATTTCCAAGCTCACGATATAGTAAGAGCGACCAAACTTGTTTATATTCATACTTTTTGTGACTAGAACGTAATATCATGGGCTTGGAAATATTGAAACGTGCACGGAGGCACATCAAAACATGACAGTTGCGCCAAAAATAGCTTAAGGCTTTTGTGACACGTCACATGAGAGGTGAATACATTTCAGTTTCCAACGGTAAACGCCCCGTTCCAAACGTAAAAAAACGCGCGAAAATGTTTGCGGTTTGTGCTTGTATGCAAATTGCTGTAAATACAGTTTGTTTAGTTTAGGTTCCGGTTTAAAACCGGACAGTGACCGCGGAGCTGTTGGATGGGGGGAGGAGGGAGGGATAATGCCAGCATTTTTGCATCCTTGAATTAGAAACATGCACAGAATGTTTATCGAGTCTCGCACCATTCCCAGTATTGGTTTGAAGTCGTTTCATATCTTTGTTTGCCCAATTAGAAAGCTTCGTATACGATTAATTTTATCATAAATTGGAGATGGTAAAACAAAATTAAATTTTTGGGCACACCATAATCTATAGACCAGGCATTCAAGCCGGACACCTTGTACTAATCTCCTACATACTGTATTAACCTCGATATAGTCATCAAACAAGCTCAAGGTCCAGATGGCCTCCCGGCCTGGCTACTGAAGGAGAATGCAGACCTTCTTGCAGAACCTATAGCAGAAATTATAAACAGCTCCTTCCGCGAAAGTAGGTTACCACCATCATGGAAAGAAGCGGATATAGTTCCAGTACCGAAACAAAGAATAGTAAAAGACGTCAGCAAACACTTAAGACCAATTTCCCTCACGCCAATACTTTCTAAAGTATTTTCTTCATCATACAAGAATATGTCAAACCGGCGGTTTTAAAAAAGATTAAAAGTAACCAATTTGGCTCAATTCCAAAATCATCGACAACCCAGGCTTTGATCAGCATGATACACACATGGAGCAAGTATACGGACGGAACTGGCTCTACAGTCATAGTGGTTGTTTTCGATTTCAGGAAAGCTTTTGACCTAATCGATCACAATATATTGGTTCGAAAGCTAAAAGATCTAAATATCGCCCATAATATTATCAGTTGGATCGTTGATTTCCTGAAATGCCGCAAACAAAGGGTAAAATTGTCACAGGACTGTAAATCGGAATGGAAAAATGTGCCGGCAGGAGTTCCCCAAGGAACAAAGTTAGGGCCTTGGTTGTTCGTGTTGATGATTGACGATATAGACACCACCAATACAGACTTGTGGAAATATGTAGACCACATATGTGATACCACAGCCGCTGAGATGGTAGAAAAAGGAGAGACAAGTAAGATCCAGAATATAGTAAATGAATTAACGGAAAAAAACGTATAGGAACAAATTCCAGTTTAATGAGAAGAAATGCAAAGAGCTTCGGATTTCTTTTACAAAAAATCACCCTGAATACGCACCTATTGTTATCAATGATAAACCAATAGAAATTGTGACTACCATCAAATTACTGGGTCTGAACATTTCCAATAATCTTAAATGGAACCATCATATAGAGGAAATTGCAAAAAAAGCTTCCACTCGGTTGTATTTCCTGAGGCAACTAAAACGTGCCAAAGTTGCCGAAAAGGAACTTTTAACTTTCTACAAGACTTGTATCCGTCCTATAACCGAATACGCCTGTCCTGTTTTCCACAACGGATTATCCACGTATTTGTCAGATGAATTAGAACGTATCCAAAAACGCGCAATGCAAATCATATTCCCAAATATTAATTATCAGGACGCACTGAAGAACAGTAACTTATTTTCTTCATACGAAAGAAGAGAATACCTAACGAATAAACTCTTTGAAGAGATATGTTCTGATCGCAACCATAAACTGCATTATCTGGTGCCGAAACTAAACGAAACTGATATTGGACTAAGGAACAGACGTATGTTTAACTTTCCTGTGTGTAAAACAAACAGACTAAAAAATAGTTTTATATTTAGTAATTCAATTAGGAAAACTTTTTAATTCTAGTTTATATTTATACTTATTGGATATTACATGTAAAATTAGTTTATCACTATTTCAATCACTTTTAACTTTTATATTATGTAAATTTATATGCAATTCAGCCATTTTGGCTGCAATGATATATATCTTAATAAACTATCTATCTCAAACATGCGTTTCAATTAGATTCAAATATCACAAAAATGCCTCTTAATTCTGCATGACCCTTAGATGCACATAAATCAATTATACCATGTAGTCTGAATGCATGGGGCTTCACTCCAAGCATTTCACTTCATTCCATTTTTAAACAGGCGCTAAAAACTTGTTAAGTGGACATACAGGACCAATCGCTCTTCAATAACTAATTTTGGGTATGTCTGAGATAGAATCTAATTTTCTAATGATATTTTTTCAGTTATATTTGTAACTTTCCCTGACATGAACGCCAATTCCTACTGTAGTGAGACCTAGTTTTAATTCCTTTTTAAATTTTAATTTCATTGCAGCACTTACCTGACATGAACAATTTAAACAACGCACTTGAGTGCAGAGAACTGCAGGTCTGTGCGCACAGCAGTAACAGATGGACAAACTGAATATGACCAGAATTCATTACTGCTGAGTGCACTTGTTACTACCAACGTCTTTTTATACTTGCGCTGTTGAAATGAAATGTTTTCTATCAGTATAACCCCTAGTCAAAAGCGGATGATATTTGATGACAGCTATAGCTAGCTAGTGCATCAGAGGGGAAAGTTTGCATTCGAGTTTTGTCAACTCTCATGTCTCGGTCTGACGAGATCAGGAGTTGCATGAAAGTTGCATGGTGAGAGCTGACAGGATATTAATACTATAGCAAACGGGCAAAAACTCTCATCAAACTTTGAACCAGCGCAAAGTTGATGAAAATTGATAAAAATTGGCTGTTAAATGCGAGGGAACTCCCATCTTTCTCATCAAATGTCATCCTAGTTCGACCGGGACTTTTGTTTTTAAAACTTATTTAGTGCTATTATAATTAATATTACAAATATTTCGTTGTAATAAAAACAATTTTTATTGTGTTCATATGAAGAATGGAGCTAGCTAGCCCACGCTTGTCGAGATCCCAGCAGTTTTTAAATTAAAGAGGTTATTAAGATGTCTCGGGTACGGACTACGGATATTATACATACAAGTCATTTAATATTTTATCGATTTTCATTGATGTCTGCATATTTGCTAATATACACGTATACTGTAGATGACCGGTCAATATTCTGAAAAGTAAGTCCCAGTATACGAGGAAATGAGTTGATGGGAGTTGATAGGTTAAACAAGAACAAAAGTTGCGTGAGAACTGGCGAGAGTTGAGTAAATATAACCAGTGGCAAACGTGCAAAAACTCTCATCAACTCTCATCGAAATTGAGCACGCGTTGAAAGTTGACGAGAGTTTACGGAATTCGACGAGAATTTGCGGTCAAACGCGAAAAAAGTTGGAATTCTTATTAACTTCATACAAAAATCCCATAATATCCCTTGAAAAATGATCTTGAAAAATCCCACAATTCGCTTAAGTGTTTATATTATTATATACATATGCATATTTTTGCGAACTTTCTTACTTGTATGGGATACAGTTTACAGGCAAAATTCAAAGTTCTCAAATTTTTGGCTACAGTATGAGGCCAAAGAAAATGCCATCAAACAATTGTTTTGTACATTCCAGTCAGGTCTGCCAATACGTTTTGTTTTTCTCGCGCTATAGACTATCATGATCTATAATACAACATAAATACAGGCATCCACAAAAATTCTGAAATAAAGTAACACAAAACCATATACCCGTCGCCACGATGCAGGAACGGAAGCGGGAAAATTTTACATGCATTTTACGGCTTTTGTAAATAGTACTTTTTTTAATATTCAGGTAGTAAGCTGAGGCTGGTTTTAAAAAGAGGTAATTAAAATTAACTATGCTTAGCTGGTGGGAAAATTCGTCCAGCTCTCAGAATAGTGCTGATATATGAGAGTTAACTAAATTTAACCACAAAAAGGGTATTGTTAAAGGGTATGGGCAATGAAAATTTCTTCATCTATCTTATTGCTTCGTCTGAAAGAGCATGAAAAAATAAGCCGATTGGCCGTTTAATGCTCTATTCTATCTCATCTAGTTCCGAAGTTATACGCAAAAATGTGCAAAATATAAATTGCTGATTCAGCACAACGTGTGACGTCATTAGCTGGGTAAGTATGTTTATTGAATACTACACTGAAGCATAGCTCAGTCATTATGTGCCCAAATCAAATGAAATTTTGGATACTGATTGTACGTGATGAGACGCATGGAAAAACACTTCTAATTTTGTTGCCAAGGTAACAATGTCGTTCCCAGGCCCCTTGCGCCAATTTTATAAAACAGCTTTATTCAGGTATTGATAAAAATAAAATAATATCAGAAGTATGTGTACGATACCTATGGATGCCGAAAGTTTACTTGCATGATAATAATTCGAAAATGACATACACATAGAGAAATGCGACTAGTTATTCAAAATCAGTGTAAGGGGCCTGGGAACGACTGTGTTGCCTTGACAATTAAATTAGAAGTATTTTCCCATGCGTCTCATCATGTACTATCTGTATGCAAAATTTCATTTGATTTGAGCCAATAATAACTCAGCTATGCTTTAGTTTACTATTCAATAAACATACTTACCCAGCTTATGACGTCACACGTTGTGCTGAATCAGCAATTTATATTTTGCACATTTTTGCGTATAAGTTCGGAACCAGATGAGATAGAATAGAGCAGTAAACGGCCAATCGGCTTATTTTTTCATGCTCTTTCAGATGAAGCAATAAAATAGATGAAGCAATTTTCATTGCCCATACCCTTTAATTAGAAAATTGTTATGACACAGTTTTAGTCAGCCGGTTCCTATAATGAGCTTTTAAATGCCGTAGTTTGTCTTTGAGCGGGACTTTTTATATCATCCCGGTTTGCCGGGCTAGTCCGCTTTAAGTAGCGCATGGATTTCTAATAATTTCCTGTACAAAACAATTTCGCTTCACATGACAACCGAGCCTTCCCGTTTAGCTGGGACCACATTTGAATTAAGCTAGGCTGAAATTTCAGCATTCAAATTCGGATAACCGCGGGCTTGTACATGCAAAAACTTCGTTTAAAAAAACATTCTGAATTACAGTACCTTATTATAGGAAATTAGCGATGCACTTTATTAACGCGACATAAATTAACACGACATCAAATTAACGCGGATTGCTTCTAGGTCTTTTAAAACATGATTATATTAACGCGAATCTGACCTCCATGGTTCACAAATTAATTAAATTAACGCGAATCGGAAAATATAGACACAACAACAACAAAGGTTTAATGTTAAGAGGAGCACTGATGTTTTTAATTTACGTTAATATTGAGAGTTAGTGTTGAAAAACAAATCTAGGTATTCTTACTAACGATAAATGAAAATTGCATAAAAATTACTTAAAATTAACGATCACATAAATATTACGAATTATAATCAGGGAGCAGGGTAAAAAGAAACCTAATTAGGATGTGGTGAACTGGGAAAGATACAACATCTCGGGAGGTTTGAGGGCGTCCATAAGAA